ACAGTTCTTCAATCAGGAGAAACTTTTCTCGGTAGTGCCTGCAGGCACACCTTTCTCTGGCCCTTAAGGCCCTGTGGCCCCTTGGCCTCAGCTCTGCTCAGCCAAGTGTTACAAAGCTCTTTTAGCTCTGCCCATAAATGTCCAGAGTAACCCTACCTATCCTGCCAGTAAGCCTCCAGCCGAAGGCACTTAGCTCTAGCTCTTTGGGTCAACAAACTTAGCTCCACCAAGTGCCCAGAGGCACTCCACTCTGCGAGCACACTTCCTGTCGGAAGGCACTCAGCTTTCTCACTCCATGGGCCGGGAAGCCCATCCTGCAGTCTCCCGCCAGTCTCCGGGTTCTGCTGCCTCTGCTGCCATCATTTCTGTGCCACCGCTTCTCACCTCTCACCATCTCTCTGCTGTTACAACTCTTTGTCTCCTGTGTCTTAGGAGGTTCCCAGTGCATGAACCCCAGGTCCAAAGGATGTGCTCTGCTCCCCTCTCTTCTTGGTGGTAGTCAGGTCCCCCCCTTGCTTTGGAATTGGCTCTCTTTTAAGCTTAGTGGGATGGCACAACTGACCAATCCCCTCGTTAGGGTGCTTATTTGCATGGTCCCACTCCAACAAGGGTACATCTTATTTTTGTTATTCGCAACCTACCCAATCCCCTTAGGGGGGCACAAGCACCTTATCTGCATAGTCCCACCCAATTTGGGGAGAGTATTACAAGACTATGGCTAGAAGTAATTCACTGCACACACCATGATAAACAAAAAAAGGCTAAGGAACTTCCAGACGAAAGCAGATTACTCAATGCAATGCATGATTCTGGACTGGAAAAATTCTACCAGGGACATTATTGGGACAATTGACAAAACTGGAATACGGACTACAGATTAAAGTATTGTATCAATGTTAAATTATCTAAATTTGATAACTGTAGCTCTGGTTACATAAGAGGATGTCTTTGTTCTTAGGAAATACACACTGAAGTTGTACAGAATGAAGTGGAACTATGTCGACTCCAGACTTTCTGGAGCCATCGACGCTGGGTGAACCCCTGAAACTACTGCCCTGAGATAATCTTTAAGCCTTAAACCAAAAATATCCCCTAAAGTCTTCTTTAAACCAAACAACAGTTTAGCTAAACTAGTAAAAAATGTCTGCCTTGAACATTATGCTTTTTTAAGAACTATCTATATGGGATCAAATTGACAACAGCAACTCGAAGGATGTCAATGGTGGAGGAACAACTCAGAAAAGGAGGGTGAGAATGGTTGCACAACTCAAAGAATGTAATCCATGTCATTAAATGGTATATATAGAAACTGTTGAATTGGTATATGTCTTGCTGTGTATATTCTCAACAACAACAAAATAAATAAATTTTAAAAATATAGTTAAGAAACAAAACACAAAACAATTTTCAAAAGGGGGCGTACATGTCTACAACCTATTCTCAAATGGTCCAGACAAATGTGTATATATAATACATGTATATGTATATGTGTGTGTGTACATAGCTAAAAAGAGAAAAAAAACATGAAAATGTTTAAAATTGGTCACGGTAGTCTGTACTGTCAGTTTGCTGATGCTGAAACTACATTTCCCCAGAATCCTCTTCTCTGAACAACCCAGGTAAGAGTTGGCTCAGAGATAATTGTAAGAGATTAGAAAGGTAAAACAAAACAATCAAACATACTGGCATCAAGTCGATTCCAACTCATAGCGACCCTAAAGGTAGAACTGCCCCCATAGGTTTCCAAGGCTGTAATCTTTACAGAAGCAGACTGCCAAATCTTTCTTCCGGGGAGCAGCTGGTAGGTTCCAACCACCAGACTTTTGGATAGCAGCCAAGCAACTCTGCCCTACAGGGTCATTTGGAATTGACTCCATGGCAAAATGGTTTGCATTTACACCCTTGTTGTTGTTGTTGTTGTTGTGTGCCGTCGAGTTGGACCGACTCATAGCGACCCCTCCTTGGGTTTCCGAGGCAGTATCACTATGGAAGTAGATTGCCCCATCTTCCTTCTGAGGAGTGGCTGGTGGGTTT